ACGAGGACGAGGATGAAGACGAGGACGAGGATGAAGACGAGGACGAGGATGAAGACGAGGACGAGGACGAGGATGAAGACGAGGACGAAGATGGGCAGATTCTCATTTCCGGCCTGGGTGTCCATACCCATGCTCCTGTTGAGCTCTCAAACGAGATGAACCAGCAGTATGATGTGGCCGATGGTGACCTTGAGGATGTTGGCGAACCGGTCGACAGGGACCAGTTCGGGGTCGATTTTTCTCATGCGAGCGACGAAGACCACGAGTGTGATGGCGACGAGGACAAGGAAAACCAGTTTATGCGCACTCAAAATGATCAGCGTGAGCAAAGCTTACTTGTCAATGCTCAACCAGCACTCATCGATCTCACCGGAGAAGAAGACGATGAGGAGATTGAGAAAGAGGCAGGGCAGAATGAGTGGGAAGAACAGGATGGAGAGTCCGTCGAGGACAGAGACGAGGTCATTTTGCAGCCGCCGAGAATATACCGATGCCCATCGTCGGGTGCGTTGCGTGGTCCGCTGGCAGAAGCTCGCGCGGCAGAGCAGGACGCTCTCGGATCATTCCTGAAGAGACTGGAGCCATCCTCGTCAGCGCCAGAATGTGAAACGCGTGCATCCGCAGTGGACGCCATAGCCGTCATTGGCGCTCAGGCTCTGTATGGCAGATCGCCTGGGCCAGCCAAACATCTATTGAAGGGTGCGCTAAGAGCACATACCATAGGAAGAGGAGCGCCACGAAGAAAAAGAGATCCGATTGGGTATCTGGAGGTAAGGGCGAGCCCAAAATTGGTGGGGAGTGATTTAGAGCTTAGTCAAATCCGCTTGCTTCCCACTTGCAGCACAAGCAGATGGTGAAAGCAACGCGAAGGAAGCAGCAATCTCGAGAAAGCATCATCAACATACTCAAAACGTTGCAGCCAGGCAATAAATGGCACGCTCGAGCATACGCTGAAATGGTCGATGGCCTACAATTGCAAGCCAAGGTGCAACGACTCACGGACAAAGCTCGTGGCGCAGCTGACGTGAAGGATGAATCGGTATGTATACGTGATGATAATGCTCGAAATCTCCTTCGTGTTCACGCTTTTGCCTTCACAGTACTACCAACGAAAAGTTGTCGAGCGTCACTTGCTCAGAGAGCGCGATGCACGCAGTAGCATCGGTCCCTCCAAGTGGAAGCAATCGGAGTATGAACGCTTGAAAAAAGAGCGCAAAGCCAGGGAGAGAGCGGTCCGCGGTGTTTTGGGACGCAAGCCTTTTCCTTCCAGCTTGACGGATGAGCAAGAAGCCACTGTCGATAATGCTTTCTCCAAACGAGGTGTTGTGTCAACCATCACCGGGGCCGAAGTCAACCACTCGGATCTCGCCAAGCTCCGTCCGCGGCAGTGGCTCAACGACGAATCCATTAATTTCCATGGGCTGCTAGTTCTGAACAGATCCAAGCAGGCATTCGAGGAACGTGAGAAGGCCCTCAAAGCTGGTAAGAAACCAGACGTACAGTGGCGAGCATTTTGGGATATACACTTTTTCAATTCGTTCTTCTATGCCAAGCTGGAGAAGGCCGGCTACAGCGCTGTCAAGCGGTGGACTCGCAAAGTGAGCAAGCGTACTGGTACATCTCGTCGCAAGTTTCGCTAACAAAGAAATGTTCTCCTTTCAGGTTCACCTCTTCAGTAAAGACATTGTGTTGTTCCCAGTCAATTTGGGCAACGCGCACTGGGTGACCGGTGCCATCAACTTTCGACTGAAGCGGATCGAGTATTACGACTCGATGCACACATCGAACAGATCATTCTTTCTCGTCATGCGCGAGTATCTCGAGGAGGAGTCTTTGGATAAGAGAAAGACGGAGATGGACTGGACCGGGTGGCAAGATTACACACCTACCGATTTTCCTTACCAGTCGAATGGCTATGACTGCGGCGTCTTTACCATCTCCACTATCGAGCAACTCAGTCGTCGGGACCCACTAATACCTATGCTGACACCCCTTTTGGAGGACAATCGCAATATAGCGAGAGATGGCGCAGCGGAGGACGACGAGGACTATGCCTGGAATTTTACCGAGCGAAACATGCCGTATCTACGCAGGCGCACGGTGTATGAAATCGTCAAGAAGCAGTTGCTTGAATAGCCTAATTTAATCCAGCTTGCACCCTGCATGGCATCCCTCAATATCATTGACTTACACGAGATGTCCGTTGGAAGGTGTCCTGCCATTCGGGATAAGCGGTTAAGGCCTCCAAAACACAAGCTACAGGTACAGATGCGAGTTTTTGTGAAGGCTTGCGAATATAACGAAATGGGAGGCAACAAAAACATAGATGCTCGCAAAACATACTTCTTACCATTTTTGAACATCGCGGCTTCAGCGGGTCTCTTCACTTTCCCTCGGTGTCGGCCAGCATGTGGCGTCGTCTTGATGATCAGTTTGTGCACGATGATTCCTTAGTCCGTTTGAGAGTATCCTCTGCCCTGTGCAAAGACTCGGTGGGAAGCACTCCTGAATGCGCACAGCGTACGTGCCTGCTTGAACTGCATCCGTAGGGTCAGACGCATGAAGGATGACCTGTCACTGTACAGCATTCTTGGCGTGAGGCAAGATGCGTCCCTCAAGGAGATACGGGCAAGTTACTTCGTCCAAGTGAGACAGGTGAGTCTCGCCCTCCCATTGGTACTCCCGTCCTCCCTTTGTACACAATGAAAACGCCGACGCATTTGAAATATGCTTCCCCCTCTACAGCACCACCCTGACAAGCTCGCTGCTGTCCACGATGCTACAATCTCAACCACACGGGGCTCGTCCGAATCAGACGAGCGCATCCGGGTTTTGAATCATGCATACGAAGTCTTGAGTAACGTTCAACTCAGAGCTGCCTACGATGCATCGGTTCGTCAAGCTCGGGAAAACCAAGCCGCAGAAGCGACTACATCAAAGATCCGGATAGCCGGCGAAATCGATATCGAGCTTTTTGAAGTGCTGTTGCCTGAAGGACGTCCCATGGATCAACAAGAAGCCGCTGATGATCAAAGCGAGAGGTGTGATGCGTCGTTTAGTCATCCGTGCCGGTGCGGCGGCAACTTTGTCGTCTCATGGCAACAGCTCGAGAGCGGACTCGATACGATTGCCTGCCAAGGCTGTTCCGAGGCCATCAGGATCAAGTTTTAACCCGTCGATGGCTTCAGGACTGTAACAATTTCCCGCAATTTCGTCTGATGTCCGACTTGAAATGCGTTTCCAATGCCAGTGGTTTAGGCAACCATTAATCTGTACTACAAGCACGCCGTTGGTGGCTGTTTTTGAACTGCCTGGGGGTGATCCAGCATGCTCAGGACCCTCGTCCCATGGCCTTTTCCATGCGTCGGACGGCACTGGCCCACCATCTGAGACTCTCATAACGCATCGCGGGGCCCAGTCCTTGGAACAAGCCTTTGACCAACGCCCTGTTGTAGGCCTTGTGTCGTGACGAGTTCGCACTGAGCCAAGCCGTGTAGAAAGGGGCCAATCCGTCTGATTTTAATTGTTGCTGCTTCTGCGTGACAGAGGCGATCACGAGGCTTGAAGAGCCTTTTGAAAGTGTCTGACTGATCGCATCACCGCCTGAAGAGCTCTCAGCAGAGGATGGACTGGTCACAGTAGCTGAGGCTGTAAGAAGAGTAGGGTCGAGATGTTCGGCTCCGTGGGACCGGGAAGCGACCGTTTCAGGCGCTTCAAGCTGGAATTGATACTCCTTGAGAGAGCATTGAAAGCGCAGATTATTATCGGTCCAAAATCGTTGGTGAAAAGCATCTTGCCTGATCTTTCGCAATTTGTGCTCCAGCTCGGCCGTTTCGAGCCTCTCGAGGAGACGATGAAAGTACTGCGAATGAGGTCGACGTGTACCTATCCGAGACGCCGTTCCATTTGGGCCGGAGGTGAAGACCTGTGGCTTGGATAGGGAAGAAGTTGTCTTGCTAGCGAATGAGGAAAACTCTGACAGAGAATAAGGATGTGTTGCGAGCGGCCGGAATTGTGAGTCTTGGAGCCTTTGCCTTGCATCCACTGCGGCTGGGCGATCTATTGATGGCCCTGCACTTTCCTCCTCTTCGAAAGCCGATCCATACTTGACCGGTCGGAGATTGCTGATTAGGTCAGGAGGGCCGACCATGTCTGCACCGGCTCGGGGTGCAAAACGCGCAACTCTTGAACGTGCCCGCAGGCTGGTTGGGTCGGGTCCCACACCCTCTGATGAGCTGTTCACAGAAGACCTCTGGCCTGTCTGCGCCTTTCCGGGATTGCTTTGGTCCAGCAAATGGGACAGAGTGCTCAGCTGCCGAGCAAATTCGCAAGCGCAGACCTGGAGTGTGGCTCGCGGTCGTTGGCCACTAGGCACCAAGCTCTGCCGCGCAAGCGCCGAACACGCACTCATCGTAAGCCGTCGTTGGTGAACTCAAGTGCTGCTCAATTGACGTTTCGAGTAGAATCAAGAAGTTGGCCGAAGGGGCTGAAAGCTGGGGTGTGTATGATGCACAAAATCTAAAGACAGAACCTGAAAGCAATCGACGAGTGAAATTAAGGGTTGACCTTTTGACGAATGACATTGCGTGTTCGTGACAACTTCGTCTCCACAATGCCTCACAACCTTACTCTTTTGACAACCATCGCAAGTGACGACATGCCTAATCGTCTTGAGATGCTACGCAGGGCTGCTCAAAGTTACAGGTTTCACATGCACAACAGTCAAGAGCCCTGCAGGACGGGGCATTCTTCTACAAGACTCGGTGGAAAGTAGGCTATGGCCGGCAGGATTAAGCGCTTCGCGGGGTCGGGCGACGCGAAGCTCACGTTGGAGCACTTCCTCCTTCGCGCGCAAGGTATTTCACTGTACAGACGTTTCATTCGGGCAACAAGAGGTGCGTGTGTGTTGCGGATCTGAAGGTGTCCGTTTCATGTACCTCCATGCTCGAACGCATGCGTATGCTCATATCCGGTATCTGCTCATGAACCAGACATCCACAACCCTGATGCTCGGTTAGAGACCATCGCCTGGATTCGCAGCGATTTTGACCGGACGAAGTTGGAAACAGACTTAGTAAGCTTGCACGGCTTCTGCGCAAAACCACGCCTGTCCTGATCCAACTCCATTGCCTTCGGTAAAAACGCGCCGCAGGAACGAATCAAAGACTTCCTCATTTTAGGGCAGCGGCAGCTTAAGCAACTTCAGGCTCCTTGGCAGCTGACAAGTGCTGGCCGCGGTGGCAGCGGCGGCGATTATGTAAAACTCAGAGGGAGGCGAAAAGTTGAAGGGATCAATGACAATGCAAATGCATAACTCAACGCCGCTGAAGAAGGTCTCGTTGGAAGGATCTAATGGTTTGCTACCTCCGTGTGCCAAAATCGAACCTCGAACCCGACACCGAAAGAAGCAAGTTCACATGTCTCGATGCAGTTTGCTTACTGACGGGACCACAGCAAGGTGGATTCTGTTGAATCACATCTATTCTTCCGCCAAAAGCCTTACAACTTATCGCCCTTCTCGGGCTTTGGGGGAGTAAGGGTGTACTCCTTCGGTTTGTAGGACTGTCCCTCGCCCACTTGCTCCCATGGCGAGCTGCGAGTTTAAACAAGCGGATCGAATCAGTACACTGGCCGCAGCGGACATGCCTCGAGCTTGATCTTCTCTGACTCACTTGGCCTCAAAGTTGCGGAATGCCTGGGTGAGTTGTAGAGGCTCGCTGACCACCCGCTTCTTCTCTTCGTCGTATCGGACTTCCGAGTATCCAGTCAAGGGGAAGTCTTTTCGAAGCGGATGTCCCTCAAAGCCTAAAAGGACGGGAAGAGCATAGATAGGCTAAGTGACCCAACCTCGCATGCCCAATTCATCTGTGCACGTACCATAGTCAGTAAGGATTCTCCTGAGGTCCGGGTGTCCGAGGAAGAAGACGCCGAAGAGGTCATAAACTTCGCGCTCATACCAGTCAGCTGCTCTGTAGACAGCTGTGGCGCTAGGCACTGGCGTGACCTCATCCGCATATGTCTTGACCCTGATTCTGGCATTGTACTTGATGCTTAGCAAGTGGTAGACGATTTCGAAACGCTGCGATCGCGTTGGAAAGTCCACGCCTGAGACGTCGACCAGCGATCTAAATTGGCACTGCGTGTGGTCTCGCAGGAACGTGAGCGTGGGAACGACAGAAGAAGGAGCCACATAGAGAGTGAGCTCGTCCTTGACGACTGAGAACTGCTGGATGTGCTTTGGAAGGCCTGTCAAATGCAGAGCCGAAGAAAACGTGCATTAGGCCGCATGTCGTCGCAGAGCTTCGCATGCATGATAAAGCACTTACATGAAACAATGTAGCTGCCGTAATCGGTGAGCGGCAGTCGCACAGCCGCGTACTTCTCGGCCTCGTTCACGCCAGCTGATTCTGGGAAAGGAGACACTGGGTTGACTGAGAGTGTGACGATCGCAAAGCACAGGAAACAAGGTCATCGTCAGCGGACATTCTACTTTCGTTCAGATTACAAGAAATCCAAGCTCTCCGGAAGTGGTCCTATCAGCCCATGCTACTCACCTCGGTCACCACCGGCTGGCAGAGGGCGTCTGACGATGCTGCTGGTTGCGAGATTCCTTCGAGCGCCAGCCGCGGCCGAGGTCACCGCAGACGAGCGCGGCAACGCTCTCGCCAAGATAGACCTTGCTGCTCCGGACATGTTGGCTTGCAACCCCCGATCAATTTGGTGACGTTGGATGACTTTGTGTCTTAAGCGAGTATGCGGAGCTTCTGCTTGGAAGACATTGAAGTGTGCTCACTGATCGTCCTCGAGCACTCGCATCATAGCAATGAGAGCAGGCAAAGGTTGGCGTAGGCACGCGCTGGGGCAACCTGGGGCGGGATTTACAAGGCAAATGCACCTTTGAGGCTTTTGCCCAGCATGTTCCAGCTCGCGTAAGAAGCTCACGTTGGCCAGACTACAACTACCTTTGACCACCGACGTATATCAGCATGACCCGTCTTCCATTAGCTTTGTCGAAATATTGATCACAGGGACCATTACTAGCGCAACATGTCTTCAGCACTAGTACTTGCAAATGGCGGCAGCAGCAACGAGGCTGGCCCTAGCCGCCCCAGCCTGCAACGGCAGTCGACCCCTCCCTATCGCTCATCACTTCTTCCCTTCACCGACGCGCTGCCGTATTACGACCAAGATCTGGAGCAAGATGCTTCATTAAGAGCGCGGATAGACCGAGAGATACGCAGGGAAATGGAAGGTACGGATCTGGCTACCAATAAGACTATTGAAGACCGGATAGGACCCGCCTTTGACTTCTCTGAAAACGTAAGCAGACTGCGGTATGGGTCTTTGACTACATACGTATTGAACCTGCCTTCCTTTCCCTTTATTAGCTCTCAAAGTTAGTAGAACAGGAGATGGAACGAGTCTTGCGGAGAGAACCGCCTGCGGCAGGAGGCCTCGATATGTCGCGCTACACGCTGCCATCACCTCCCGAAGGGGAAGAAGACTCTGAACTCGCATGGGACGGCGCATTACGCAACTCTTCAACTCAATTAGCGCTGCAAGAGTTTCGCATGAGCAACATCGAGCTGCTCAAGGCATATGGAGCAAATGCTTGGCGCTTGCACAACTTTCAGCAGGAAGCCATGTTGCGTTCCATCGACTCCTTCAACGACGCTGCGCGCGCACGAACCACAGGCATCAATCGGAAGCGCAAAGAGTTGCAGACACGAGCAGGTGGAGAAAAACTCAATAGCCTGCAGAATAAATGGGCGGAACTCATCAGCAGCAACTTGCAAGTAGAGGTCGCAAACATCACATCGGCTCACGAGGTCGAGGTGCTCCGGCTAAAGCGCCAGAAGCTGGAGAAGGAGCTGGAGGCGCTGGATCGCGAGGAACTGAAAGGCTAATCCATGATATTTCTTGCGTGCGTCTCTTTTCTTTGCTATGCTGACCCAGAATCTGCTCAGTATGAACTTGGACGGCCATTGAATTACCCGAACTTCCAGGACACGCTTCCCTTCATTGGGTTCGTGGAGACGGCTAGCTACTTGCACTTTATGCTATGGCTATGCCAGTCCCTGGGCTGCCCTTCCTCTTTAGAGACAAGGGCAGAACACGTTCGCAGATCAATCCAAATTGCAGCCTTTGAGTATATTCCTTCCGCTCTTTACGGATGTGGATATAATTAGGCTTGCGCACATCTCGTCCACACAGAGTGCATTCCTCGTATAGCCCCGTAATAAAAAGGCGCGTCCTTCGTTTAATTGCTTTCGTATGTTCAACTGAATGTCAAGCGACGTCCCCAAAACATGCAGTGTCGCACACAGTGGTTTGGAAGAGGTGCTGACTACGCCTTCTACTTTGACCTCATGGCCCAAGCGTGGTGCACGCTGAAATTAAATGTCTCATTGCCTGGGAGTCACAGGCTGGACGCTGGCATGGTCGATGTCGGAGTAATATAAGTGACTCTGTGCTACAAGCTTAGATCATCCTGGTATACCTGATTGCCGTGACTGCACCGTACGGACGACTACAAGCTAAGTGTGAGGCTGAGCGTATCACTGCAGACGATTCGCATACCCCGACCCTTGTTTCCTTTCTGTCCCCTTGCCTGCCATCATTGTGTCTTCTTTTCGTTTCCTTTCGGACCATCAGATAGCCACATGGTATCGTGGCGATTGTACATGGGCCATGGTGGGATGCAGATCTGCAGCCGAGGTCACTGTCAGAGGTGCTCTTGAAGGGAACGTGCAACACGCAGCTCACAATCATCGTAACAACAAAGAAGAACGTGTAGATATAGAGAGTGAGCGCTAATGATTGGAGCAACCAGCCGACGATGAAGGCTGCTACCTGTTGTCGGACGCGTGACAGAGATCCAATCATATATTCAGCACACACCGGGAAGGTGGGAGCCTTCCCCTGGGCGCCCTCACCGCTGCAAAAACGAGCGACTCTTGCTGTATCCGGTCACTGAGTCTCTGCCCCCGAAAGTCCTGTCATGATGGGAGAATAACATGACGTCGGTCAGTTGTCAGCACTCTCCGAACCCAAGGCCTTCATCTTCAACAGAGGGCAGGTCCAGCGGCCACCCACAATCTTGCCCTCCAACCGCTTGGAAATTGCATCCATCTTAGCTCTCTTGCTGGCTTGTCCCAGGAGGATCTCCGTTTAATTATTTGCAAGAAACTCTCTGTCAGTGACGATAAGGCATTGAAGCTGGCCTACCTGGGAAGTTCTCCACGTCTCCAATGCACCATTCTAAATTGGTCCTGAGGTTGAAGCGGCGCGATGGGCTCCACTGGCGCGTTGCAAGTGAGCATGGAACGCAAACAACACGGCGAGATGGCATCGGGGTGAGCAACCCTAACAAATTGTGCATGTAGGTTACATAAGCGAATTTTGAATGGATTCGCAGAAACCCGAAGGCGTTTAGGGCAACGTCGTTCATGTTCCAAGATCGGCCTCGATCGCATTCTTTGTGAGGCATTTAGAGCATCGGACGCATCAGGTTCTCTTCTGACAGACAATTGTAGATACAACGAGTATTACAAGTTGGCTGAGGAGACCCCAATCATGCTTGTCAGCAAGCTGGACACCGAGCGCCAGGAGGCGTTCCGAGCATCTATTTTTCTTTCGCTCGATGACGGTGAGCGCAACAGCCGTACCGACGGTGGCGAAAGCTCACCGTTCGATACACTGCTGGCTCAACAGAGGCTACAATCCGTAGCTGCGGCTATAAACACGTTCATAGAGGCATGCTGCATGGATCCGCCACCAGATGGAGCCGGTGGTTACATATGGAACCGTGATGTGCTGCGCGTTCGAGCGTCTTACCCCGATCGCGCCAAGCGCCCTCGTGCGACCGAAGGAGTGCAACTGGAGCAATGGGGACAGCTGTCCATCTATCAGCGCACTGGTGGTGCGCTCGAGGATGTCCAACTTTCTACATTCATCATGCGTCAACTTACGCTGCGCCTCGCGTCACTTCAGTTGGCAATCAGCGTTTCGGATGAAGACGGTCAATTCCTTTTGATCGATGCTGCAGACCATCTGGACGACTGGATTACCCCGGAGAATGCTGAAGGACGCGTTTGGATTTACGAGGGACGTTTGCACATTATCACCCCTTCTGCAGAAAAGGTGGCGCGAGATGAATACGGGTACGGTGACGATGGCATGATTTCGAAAGGCAAAAGCAAGACGGGAGAATCGGGCGCAAAAGGCGATGCAGGACCAGAAGAAGAAACTCAGCGGGTCCTTCCTTTGGCTCTTGGCCAAGCAATTGTGCGAAATCCATCCATTCCGACACTTGCATCGTCACTTGTCGAATCCACCGCTTTTGAAGCTCTCGCAGACTTTCCTACCTCCGCGTACGATCAAGTCCACATGACTCTGGCATGCTTGCCCGAAAGCGCCGCGCGCGTACTCCAACATGATCCACAGCTCATCGCCCTAGCAGCTGAGGCGCTGCTCACCAGAGACACATTAAGCGCAAGGGCGGCAGGCAAGATGGAGCAATTTCTCGGCGGCGCAACACCTTTCATACCTCCAAACCTTGGTGCCGCAACTTCAGCGCACACCCCTGGCGTGCCATCTTGTCGGATCGTGCTCACACGAATCCAAATGACAAAGCGCATCTACTCAGCGCTCACTACAGAGAACTATCTTCCGCCCAAAGTATTCGGTCGCAGCTGGCAGACGATTGTTGAGGAATATCAAGCCAGGCTTTTCTCACAAAATGCCGGCAAGGCAGAGGGGACCCTTGCCACGGATCCAGGCCTGGACCTGGGCCGGTGGCTCGATCTGGGTACAAAGATCGCCTGTGGTATGGAGATGCTATATGCTGAAAGCAGGTCAAAAAGCACAGCCAAACGCGCGTATCCTCGAAGGAACGACGGCGAGGACATTCAAATAAATCTGGACGTGTCACTTGAAGCATCAGCCCCATCTCCTTGCATGGAAGCCCCAGCGCGTGATGCATACTCAAAGTTTGTGTCATCACTCCGAAAAATTGGCTACTTTAACAATGAGCTCGAAGGGAGTGCGCGATGGAGGCAGCTAGAGCACGTAGCACTTCAAGAATGGTCCCGACAGCTCCAGGGCAGCGTAGCTACCAAGGAGTACGAAGAGCTCGATCATGACGGCGAGAACACGCTGGCAGGTATCGCGCAGCGCATGGACAAAGTGCTAGCGGACTCTAGGGCGGTGACTTTGATCGATCTTTCCAGCGAGCCCCATGCAAAGCTGGTGGCACTCGAGGATGACATCGCTTGGCTGTATCTGCAGTCACATCAGGACGATGGGGAGGGCTCGGTCCAGGCCGAAGACTTGGACCAAGACGAGGCAGAACGCTATGCAGCCAAGCAGCTCGCGGCTTTCAGTGTCAAGATGGAAGAGTTTTTGGACCGCAAAGGCGACCATCGCGGTGCGCGATTCTCAGATGAGGATTTTGCTGATGGGGATAGCGACGAGGACAGCAACGAAGATTTAGAGTTTTCAGACGAGGGGAGCAGCTCCAATGGAAAAGACATAGACATGCAGAAAGTCGAAAGGCAGGCTGCCCGTGCTGACGAGGAGGCTCGCGCCGAGGCGAGATTGCGGCTTCAAGCAATGTCCAGTGAGCAGAGGACGGAGGCCATGGAAAGTCTCGTCAAAGGGATTGAAGCCGGGTCATGGGGGGCGTTAAAAGGCGGATCTCAGCCAGCGGATGCGTCACGAGCGCCGCAGGCAGAAATGGCCATCACTGATGGAGATACTGGCGAGTCATACACTACAGGGTCGATCAAGCCTCTTTCAGCGGAGGAGATGGCAGCACTTTTCCCGATAAATGGCCACGCCAGGCCGATCTCAGAGTATCCATCACAGCCCCGGCTCGAACCTCACGTTAGCCAGTCTCAAGACGTTACAAACACGACTGCGGAACCATCTCCCCCAAAGGGACAAGAAGTCCGTGATAAAGTCAACGGCCTGCGCTCATTATTGCGTCAAGCGCAGCACTTTGAAGGGGATTCAGACTCGGAGGAAAGCATGCTGGATGCAGAGGATGCAGGAGACTCGAAGGCGGATCGATTGAACAGGGCCAAATGGCTCGACGTAGGTTCAGAAGATGAGCTGCCAGATAGCGATAAGGTCGACGAAGAAGTCGAAATGGAGGGCGAGATGGACGACTTCATTAAGTTTGCCACAGAGGCTCTGGGGCTCAGCAAGGCACAGTATGACCGCATTATCAGCGAGCGCGAAGCTAGAGGTGGTGAGTGAATACGTGACGTGGACATTTGAACAGTATGCCGATTTCATTATCATCCAGCAGCTTTTGTCCCTTCTTCAAGTGCAACATCTGCATCCCCAATTGAGCATGCTTTACCACCGGCCGGGAGCGCCAAAGGGAAGGACAAGATCTCTGCGAGTGAGCGTCAAGGCCGGCCTCTCAAAACATTCGAGGAGGTCATGGATGCAATGGATGCCGAATTGGGTCATGCAAAGACCTCTGGTAGCCAATCAAGCACCGCTCCGTCTACCCAATCTACAGTTACAAAACATACTAAGCGTCACCAACCCGAGGTGGCATCACGGCGAGGCGTGACATCCGCTCCACCGCCGAACTTGTACGACGGTGATGAGACCGATAGTGATGACGAACTGAGTGCGCAAGACCAGGAACTGATCCAGAAGCTCACCAGCTCTAGAGCCGATTTTTCTGGGCTCGCGCCTGGAGCCGATGAGCCCATGTTGCAGATCAACATGATCCAGAATTTTCTTGAAAGTTACAAGGCTCAGGGTGGTACCGCCGGTCCAGTGTCCAACCTGGCTGGTCGAATGGGGATCAGTCCACTGCCGTTAGATGCGGAGCATTGATTTGCCATTGTAACGCTAGGATGAATGCATGCAGTGCAATGTGACATGATCGTGCAATCCATTCTGATTCTCTGGATAAGGCTGTAATGGCCTCTTAAGCCGAATGCATCCAGGTACTGACAGGCGTGAATGCCATATCGTGTCCGTCGAGACCGTCGGCAATACTATCAACAACTTTGCTCTTGTCCGGAACAACCAGTCGCAGTGGCTTGGCAGAGAAGTGCGACACTTTACGTGCATGCGACTTGATGGTGCCAGCATGCCGTAGTCCGCCGTCCGCGTTGCCAATGACCACGTCATCTGAGGACGGCTCGCTGTCGTCACCGCTTTCTCCGATAACGACATCGCGTTCGGTCTGCGTTGAATCGCTCACAGGCCGTGTGGGCAATTGATCGCCGTTAGCAAACGTTATCGAGGGCGAATCCCAAAACGCACTTGAAGGAGGTCGATGCTCGAGTGTCACTCGTCGGTGAGCGCGGGAAAGGTGATCGATCTGTTCAAGGAGTCCTTCCGGGAGCAAGGGCACCGGCCTCCATGAGGCGCCAGCGCCAAAGCCATGCCCCGTAGGGTACAGGCTCTGCCGACTACTAGCGCTGGACCTAGTGTTCGAAGAAGACGCTACACTCTCGGTGTCCTCTTCTCTGCGACGCCCGCTAGATTGAGACCCATCCATGCCTGGTATTCGAGGACTGGTAGGAAGTGACGACCGCAGCGAGGCCGGATTGAAGCGTGAACTCAGAGCATGCAGGCTTTTCAAGCTCGGAGTGCCAGTTCCGTTGAAGTGGCCCCGTCCAAAGTTGAAAGCATCGCCAGGGCTGACCGTGAGTGCCTCACTTCCTGTAGGAAGCGCGAAAGGGAGCATTTCCCGGCTGTTCAGTGCCTCACCAGCGGTGGAATCGCTATCCCGGACACGCTCAGAGAGAGCAACTACCTCTCCATTGGGTCCTGGTCGACCGAGAGGTGTCCACGATGGCATGTAGTCTGCCATGCTGTTGCCGGGCTCAAAGAGAGCGTCGATGGACATTTGTGCATGTCGCGCAGCCCGCTCCTCGTCTGTCATTTCGGTATCTTCAGCGCTCCTTAGCGTCAGGTCTGCCAACTCGGCATCGTTGGTACCAGCCATGTCCACATCGGGGTCGCCGCGTGGGTTCTGTTGTGTAGCCGTCCCAGACCGGAAATGTCCACTGCCATGGCTTTGCCTTTCGCCCCGCTGCCACCGTTGATATGCAGTAGTTAGCGAGCGCATCCAGTCTTCGTGCAGCTGCAACAAGTACTGCGAGCACTCCTCGCTCATGCGTGTCTCGTTGACTTCATACCGATAATCTCGCACCGTTCGGCGGAGCTGCAGAGGGTTAAGAGCCCGCAAATTCTGCATAGTAGTAATGAGCGCATCGAAATCGAGAAGTGCACTCTGACACTGCAACCAGGAGACCAGCTGGGATAGCGGCGCGAGGTGTTGATGAACAATGGCGAGAGGCAGCGCATTGTTGCGGGCCCAATCTTCCAGGGCACTGACGTTGAGGCGGATCTGCATCGCCTTTGAACGGCACAGATACTTTTTGTTTGCGAGGATACGATTGAAAAGCTCGCAGCCAACCCAAAAAATGATTTGGGAGAGCACCTGGACGATGATGGCGGGATTGATTTCGTAAAGCTGCATGACTTGGAGCGTGGATGTCAATAGTGAGGTGACTGTTCTGGGCGAAGGATATGCAAGAAGATCATCGGCAGTTGCATTGTACGACGCCTCTCGAACGCTCAATAGATTCAGCTCAGAGGGAGCCCTCTTGCTAGGAGATGATGAAGCTGCCTTTTGCTGCGAGATGGAAAGCCCGTTTGTAGCCGGTGTAGTTGGCCCTCTAGGACTGTTGCTGCCGCTGAAAATCTGGCTGAGAGGTCGTCGCTGGGGACTGGATGACCCCATGTTTTTGACACTTCCAGCAAGGTTCTTCATAAAGTTCCAGTCCCCTTCAAAACGCGCTTCTGACGTCCCTGGCAAGGACTCGTATTCCAGCATGGCGGTATCGAGGACGTTGTCTATCCTTCGTTCAGCATCACGAATGATGAAGACATAGATCTCGTTAATGAGGTCGGTCAAAAGCCCCTGGTACTCCTCTGCCATTTCAGAGCTGCTCAATGTCGCATCGACAAGAAAGTAATGGAGCAGAAGAGTCGTGTTGGACATCCAGAATACCAGCCAGACCATGTCCATTTGATGTTCCTAGATGAAGAGGTTGTTCGTCAATGTCGGTGCAAGCGCGCAGTGAGCTGGCGTTCGACTTACATAGATGGAGTCCTCAATCTGGTTGATCGCTGTCTTCATGAGCTCGTCTAGAAGACCGGGACCTTCAAATGCACAGGCGTACCTTGCGCAGAGGAAGAGCACATTGGCTGGCATTGCTCTTGCGGTCCAGGGTGCTCTGACTGGCCGGGCATTCTTCACGAGGAGATCCTTCAAAAGTGGGAGATCTGCAGATGCAAAGACAAGCATCTGATCGTGTCTGACCTTTTCGAAGTCAAACTCTTCCAAAAGGGGATCAGCCCCCACTTCAATTGCTCCACATCCGGAGGCAAGAGCGGATTGCACAAGCCTGGCCTTGGCTGCTGGTCGATGTGCCTTGCGCAGACGCCGTGGCTGCTGACTGCGGCCGGGCGCACTCGATAGAGGAGCCATAGGCGGCGTTGGAGGCGGATTACCCACAAGAGACTCAAAGTCGACGGAAAGCATGGTGGCGATATCCAGGAGTGCCCGTTTACGCCCCTCTGCCAGCTCACGAGCTCGCAACTCCTGCTCTGCGAGTTGGACGCGTTCCGATCGATCCAGCAAGCGTCGTGTACCTGCGGAGGCCAAACTTGTCGTCCGTCGGTGCGATGATGGCTGATCAGACTCCGAGTCACAGTCTCGCAACCCTGCCAGTCTGATGTGGGCTGATGTCCCTGATTCCGCCTCTGAAGACGAGACTGCTGACATGGGTGAAATGGGCCTCTCGTCTGTGGCTTGGCTGGAGCCAAGGAGACTTCCTGCTGCTAGCGTTCGGGCAGGGGTGGGAGCATTGCTTCCAACACTGCTCTTAGTGAGACCTTCACTATTGTTGATCCGCAAGCCATGCAGTCCCTCCACCTCTACATTGCATTCCAGCATCGACCTTCGTTTCTCCTTTGCTGCAGCCTTCTGATGTTCTAGAATCATGTCCGCAATCACTTCACGATCTGAGTTGCGGTGAGCTGTAGCAGGTGAGCTCGAATGCTGTCGACTCGACGACGCCACTGTGTAAAAAGACGATGCGAATCGATCTGCGGTGCTCATAGCATTATTGTCGATAGACAGCTGTTCTGATGCCACAGAAAGGATAAAATCTTCGCAAGACGTGCCTTTGTGACTACGCGCTTCGGGGTCGGCTCCCCGGGAAAGGAGAAACGCGACGAGGGGAACATTCGAGCTGTTTGCTGCCCACATGAGCGGCGTCCACCCACCTAGATGAACATGAGAGACAGGCCTCAGCTACGATCCCCACGAAGTACCTTGAGAAGACTCACATGCGTCTCTTTCATTGACGTCGGCGCCTTCTCGGATCAGTAAGCGCACAGCTTCCAGATTGCCAGAGCTGGACGCCAACACAACGGGGCCCACGCCATCGTCATCGCGAATCTTGGAGAAGTCGACACATGGAGAGCGTTCTGCCTCCGATGGATGCGTCCCAGGAGAATTTTTCGCTGCAAGTTTCGCAACAGTGGTCGGCAGAAATGTCCATGCTGGGGACCCAGGCTGTACAATCCATGTCAGCACATCCGTGTCACCCATTCCGGCGGCTCGGAGTAATGCTTTGGATAAACGCGCACGCTTTTCATCGTGTGACATTTCATCGTCCGGAAGGGCAGCCAGGGATAATAAAAAGTCGACCGAAGGACACAGGTCGAGAATCGGATCCCGAATCTGCAGTTTCTTCAAGGTGGCAGATAAGGTGGTCGAGGATGTCACTTCGGCCAGCTGAGCAGACAGCTCGACAGCTGTCGCTACGGGGTCGACTGTGAGATCGGTTGGCAGGTCCATATTGAGAGACCATGTAGACTTCCTCGGCATGTGCTGATGCTGGATACTTCCTGGACCGGGATTGCAAGAGCTCTTCCCGAAAAGAAGCCTGAGCAGGAACTGCGCTGGGCTCGTGCACAAATTGCAATCACGCTCTGTGTGTCGCTCTGCTCGCTGTATGCTGGCGGTCCTGTCCGGGCGCCGCCATAACCGCCTGGTCCGCTTGCAGCACCTGTACCTGTGCTGGACTTGATCCCGGATGTAATGGGGGTATTGCAAATCCGTTGGGCCTGACCTCGACTGGGGTGTACTTTGTGTTGTTTGGATTAGTCGCAACTTTGATTAGCGTGATAGGCGATGTGGGTCATTTGAGAGAATTTTGGCGCGTCGTCGTCATCCTGGCCGCGTCTCTCTCAGCAGCAACAACACAACGACCCTCGTACCATACACAACTCATATTAATCTCGGCATGTTGATCAGCGCAGCGAGTCTTAGCTCTAGCTGGTGACCTCGTTGAGATTGCGTGTGAGGGGCAATCAGCACTCTGGCCCGTTCGGAAGTAGCATCGAAGTGATGTGCCTCCTTCAGGCTTGGCCCTTGGAAGAGATGGGCCGGATATCTTTCGCGTAACCACGCTTCGAGCTACTGAAACGCCTTGCAGCAGTCCAACCCCCCAAGCGTCGCCCCTTCCATTCTGCCTTTCGGTTCCAAAGTCAGAGACAATCTACGCCATGATGTCTTCAACGCCTGCCCTCGCGACGAACTCGCGAGGAGAGGCTGGAAAATGTGCGCTGTCGCAATCTCTAGGCCACTTGCAGGGCGCCTCATCATCTTGTTCGACTCAGCCAAACATTACGGAAATATCGTCTGACAGCAACTCTCAGTGCATGGATCCTCCACAAGAACTCGAGCTTGATGGAAAGGTGCATCGGCGTTGCGTAGTGTCTGCTCTCGGGTATCTCCCGCGCGAGGACGTGGACCCTAGGTCCCACGAGCTTCCACATATCATTTATCTTGGTGAGAAACATGCCGCTGCACCTACTGGACGCAGCAATCTGGGCCATTCCAATCCCCCTTCCAATTCTCCACTTCGGTCTCGTCTTCTGGGTATTGCCCCCTCTGCGATCTCTTCGGGGGAACCTGACCCGATGTTTTCCCCATCGACGTCGTCCCCGGCAGGCTCTGATGTCTTGCCAGCCGACTCCGCAACCTCATCGGCTTTGCCTGTGCACGCCAACCTGCCGAGGTCGCGATCGCGCGATTCTGGTCATCCACGTCCTTCTGCCACCAGGCGTTTCTCTCTTCCTGTGGCTAACGCGTCATTCTCAAGCGGCAAGACCCATGAAACGATATCGAGTCAAAGTCAATTGAACAGCCGAACTGCCAGCTATCGAAATGATCGGCCTAACTTCGCCGGCTCCTCGCAGGGTGCGCGACCGTCTTCACTACAGGCTCAATCTCCGGCATCGGAAGACGTTCCTGATTACTTCCCCCACTCTTCCACTTTGGAAGATTCTTTTTCGGACGATGAAGAGCGAAACGAGTGGAGCACAGAAGGGGCGGCCGCAATGGGGCAAACGCAGACGCTCATGCAGATGCTCAGCATGGTTGGCACATCTCTCATGGAGGCAGAAAGGGATGGACTGTTGGAAAGCTCGGTCGAAGACGAGGGGGATGATCCGTTCCTGCTCGCCAAGCTTTTCTCTCCGCACCTGCACGGCGCAGACGATGGGGGAGCAGCAAATGCCCTAAGCGGAGACAGATATTTGGCAAGAGCTGAGAAACCTCCGCTCAGGTCGGTCATGTCCAAGACAATCAGTTCTCTCCTTTTAGCAGACATTCCTCCGGACGATCAATGTGCGTGTTGCTTGAGCCCAATGCTCTGGCCAGTAAGATACATATTGACTCGTTGCTTGCATTGTCCTTCCCTTTTACCCCAGCAGCAACACCGATTGGTGGCTCTACACCCCTTTACTCCTCAATGGCTACGATACCCCAAGCTGCCCGGCAGCACCTCGTAGCAGGGCAACAGTCGTCTCTGGCACATACCCAACAGCCTTCAGATGCTCCGAAGGAGATTGCATCTTCCGCTTCCTCTTCAATGGCGTCATCCCTCGCCTCTTTGCGTTCCATTGGCGGCGAGGACGACAACTTACTGGGCGCGTCCATGCACGCCATTTCGAGCGCATTCATTGTACACCAGGAAAGCTCAGACCAGCCAGTTGCGCCTGCTCCCAGCAAGCAAAAGGAAGGAATCGAGACGCAGGGTGAAGGGGGGTCGATTCCAGTGCAATCTCTTTCTACATCGCAGCTCTTGCGCACTCACCGCTCTCACCGCGACCATTTGTCGACCAAAGTGCGCGAGCTATTCAATCTCTCTGAAGGCGAAACCGTTCAGAGCTGCCATCCCTGCTGGCTGTTCCGCACAATATTGCTGCGCGGTTACGTCTACTTTACGAACTCATACCTTTGCTTTTACGCCTACCTGCCGTCGAAAGGAAATCGCGCGACCCGGGCCGGGCCACTAATGAAACGAACGCGTCGCACAATGCGCTTCAGCAAACACTGGGCAGTTCTAAGGGGCAATGCATTGAGCTGGTACGAGTCGAACAAGGACCCCTACTTTCCGCAAGGGCACATCGATCTGCGGACCGTTCAGGATGTCTCTTCTGTTGCGGGTGACGGAAAAGGCAAAGAATCTCAATTCACAGTTGAGACGCCGGAGAGAACATTTCTCTTTTCTGCGCCGTCAAATGACAGCCGAGACGTATGGGTGCAGGCGATCCTCAAGGCCGTATTTCGGGCCCGCAACGATGGGGACAGCGTACGCATCGGCATTCCTTTCGAGACGATCCTGGATGTCGAGGAGTCGTCTAGCTCTTCGCTCGATTCTTCCAGTGTGGGCACCCCAGCCGCTGAACCTGCCAAAGGTCGTCAGGGAAGGCAAGGTGATCCTCTTGCAGGTGGAATGGGTGACATGGTCGCTATCAAAGTGGTCGAAGGTGGCACCGACTTTGCCCTTGATGAATTCCATTTCCTGAACTTTGGCCCACGGCGCGATTGTTTTCTGTCTGATCTCAAACGCGTCGTCGCCGAGATGGCTGGTCGGCAGATGGCAAGGAGAGTTGCAGATGTCAGTGTCCACAGTCAATCAGTCAACAAGATGTCGAGTGAGCATGGCGATGCCCTTTCTACTACCGTGACTCGTCGTCAGATTGATCCGGGATACCCTCCATCGTCGAGCGCGGATACGATACTACCGATAATCCCTCTCTCTGAGCGGCGAGAGCGTGAAAGCAGTCGCCATCCAGTGCCCAGAGGGGGAATTCTGCAGGCAGTTCCAAGCTGGATCTCTCGAGGCTCCAGCGAAGCAAGCCGGTTACTCATGCAGGCTCCGGCTGCAGGCTCAAAATTTGGCGCTGCAGTGCTTGGGAGCATCAGCGGTGCAGAGCGGCAAGCGCGCCGAGTCTCGGAGATTTGGAATGCATCTTCTGCGCAAGCGATTCGAGGCGTTCCATCCATGGCAGTAGGGTTGGCAAATGACGAGCAAGTTGACTCGCAGCCCATGGCACCGTCCACTCAGAGCAACGAAGAGCAGCTTTATCGAACGACATTTCCACTCGCTCGCGCCGACAGGCTGTTGATGACAGCCCAAAGCTCTCTATACCGCGTCCTTCCGACAAAGGGCCTGCTGTTCATATCTGATCGACACATCTGCTTCCGCTCATCTGGGCTAGCAACTCGCACTATGGGTCGGACGCTCATGATGCTGCCCATCGGCGATGTCATTACCGTGGCTCGGCATCGGGCGTTCCAACCAGGCCAGCACGGACTCATCGTTGTCGTGCGAGGGCACGAAGAGGTCTTTCTCGAATTTTCTTCCGTGGACCTTCGCAATGAGTGCTGTGAGCGGTTGGAGCAAATGCTGGAGGAAGCCCTCATGCGGCCCACTGCCGACATCAGCATTGGGAAGCAAGACGATCTCATTCTGAAAGACCTCAGCGACAAGCTAGAAGCCACGTCAATTTCGACATCCCTACCGTCCTCCAGCTCTTCTGATGCCGATACACAGGATTGGGAGAGCGGCAGCGTTAGCGCATCCATGTTCAAGTCTCAGTCCTCAGACTTTCTCTCCTTTTTGCCGAAACAACCATTGCACATCACCATGCTCAGCATCGGCTCTCGCGGCGATGTACAGCCTTACATTGCGTTGGCCAAAGCACTCATGGCGGACGGCCACCGTGTGCGCATAGCGACCCATGATGAATTTTCGGCCTGGATCGAAGGACACAACATCGAGTTCAGTGCAGTCGGCGGCGATCCGGCCGAGCTCATGCGTATTTGCGAGCAGAATGGCACGTTCACAGTGGGCTTTGTTCGCGAAGGCCTGCTCAAATTCAGAGGCTGGCTCGACGACTTGCTGCTCTCTAGCTGGCGTGCATGCCATGGAACAGATGTGATTATCGAGAGTCCCAGCGCCATTGCGGGGATCCACGTCGCCGAGGCTATGCAGATTCCCTACTTTCGCGCATTCACCATGCCGTGGACGCGAACACGTGCGTACCCGCATGCTTTCGCTGTGCCGCACAGCAAGGCTGGTGGCAGCTACAATTACATTGTAAGTGCTAACAGAGTGGAATGACTTGCCCGTTGGCTGACGCTTCTTGCACGAAAGTCCTACGTCATTTTTGACCAAGTATTCTGGCGCGCTGCATCCAGGCAGATCAACCGCTGGCGTCAAGAGACGCTCAGGCTTAAGTCGACGACGTACGATCTTCTTGAGCAGCACAAAGTGCCCTTCTTGTACAATTTTAGCCCAAACCTTGTTCCGAAGCCTTTGGTGAGTCTCAAATGTGACACAATGATGGTATATTTCGAGCTGACGTCGTTCTGCGCGCAGGACTGGTACGAATGGATTCACGTCACTGGTTTTTGGTTCCTTGACAACCCGGGCGAGACATCAGGGCGGTCTTGGGCTGCACCAGATGACCTTGTCGCCTTCATCAACACGACAAAGGCGCAGAAGCGAAAGCTTGTGTATATCGGGTGGGGTTCAATCGTCGTCTCTAACGCGGCTGCCATGGATGAATGTGTCGGTGAAGCGGTGCGAAAAAGCGGTGTTTGTGCGATCGTCTCGCGCGGCTGGTCTGATCGATTGTCGGAGAACAAGGGCACACCGTCCGAAGCATTCTCGTCCCCCGACATCTTTCGAGTCGACTCGGTTCCCCACGACTGGCTGTTCCCGCAGCTTGATGCAGCTTGTCACCATGGTGGTGCTGGGACATTGGGAGCAAGCCTCCGCGCAGGGCTCCCAACCATCATCAAACCATACTTTGGCGATCAGTTCTTCTGGGGTCAGCAGGTGGAAAGCTTGGGAGTGGGGACATGTGTCAAAGAGTGCACCGCTGAGAACCTTGCGGCTGCGCTCCGCAAGGCCACGCAAGATGTGCGCCAGATAGAGCGCGCGCGCCAACTGGGAGAGCGCATTCGATCAGAGAATGGGGTCCAAGCCGCTGTCACTGCTTTCTACCGCGAGCTCGAGTACGCGCGCAGCTTAATCAAGACCGATAGTCGCTTGCACACGACTAATTCTGAGGTCCAAGCCTCTAACACTGTTGATGGGGCGAGCCCTTCGCAACCTCACGCCGAAGAGCTCCATGAGCGTTCGAGTCGCGCGATCGACGCAATCAACACTCCCAGCAACCGACCCCGCTCTACGCGATCTTCATCTGCAGACTCGAATTGGTCGATCTTGTCACCTTAACCCTTGTTGTTGAGAGAGTTCGACTGTAGCATATGTATACGCAAGCATTCGAACACGTTAAACCACGACGCAAATGCGAATGAAATGCGACGCGTTGATCTTTGGTTAGCATCCTGAACCCACGTTGACAGAATGGTGAATACGTTACGATGAAAGTTACGACCATCCCGCTCAAATGGAGGCCGCCCGTTCTCGTGCTGGCTTGCGCTCCTATGGCTGAGGCTATCGAAGGAAGGGCTTAGAATCGACCAGCGAAGACGTTTCCGAAAGCTAAACATTGGCGGAATGACCAACCCGTGGACCAGATTCGGCTTGGACACTGAGGTAGTGGTGTGGTAGGAGCGTTAGCAGATGCTATAGATTCAGACCACTATTGAAAAAGCACATTTTGACCTTGACTTGCTTACTGCCTTCTCGTGCGTTCGTCGTGGGCGGAGTACTACAGCTATATACAAAATAAAGATACAAGACCAGCCACGCGCACAACAAAGGCTGCTGCGTAATTTAATATTGGGCGCCACGGTCTTTCACGCATCGCGACATGCCCGGTAGCTACGAGCGATCCAGGTGCAGGACTCGCCACAAGAAGTGCTGCAACCCGCCACAATGAACAACTCCCGAGCATCCGCGTGGCCCGCAGACTGGCGTGCTTTCGTGCTGCAATTCGGAGCCCATCGGGAAGAACTTAGAAGTCGTGTGTATCCAAGCGTACCCTGTTCTATGTTGTTGTTGCCGTATTCTTAACGGGAATCATTGGCTCTTTGAGGGGGGTTTTGGTATTCAACTTCCGCCTCTGCGAATGGGAAGTAGTGCATGTTGGCTGCTGGTCATGGCCTACGAAAGCCTCAACTATGATGGCGCGTAGCGAAGTGATCAGTCAACTCCAGGCTCCAGCTGAACAAAGTGTGCATTTGAGAACTGCAGGCAGGCCCTTCGCCGACGGTCTAACTTTTGTCTCCGTCCTTCGAGTCCAAGGAATTCGGCCTCTGCGCAGAAGAGATCTTACTTCTTACGCGCATGATCGCTGTCCTTAGACGACCCAGACGCTCTCTAGAACTCCATTAAACTCTAGGTTTACCACCATATACGTTTTTAAGCGCTTCAGAACAAGCACTAGCTCTCGTGGCAATCAGACGTAAATTTCACATTATCTAGCTGGAGGCAAGATGCGTTGCTGTCCGATGTTGCACTCACACTCATCATTTATCCCCGCATTCCATGATTCATTACTAGCTTTGCCATTCTCTCTCCAGAGTACGTTTTCCTGGGCAATCTGCTCGCAGCGCAGCACGCATAAGAGTATCTTCATCTTGCCTATTAACGCCGTATCAATTCAGTATCGGTCTCACGATGTTGATCTAGCTCATCATCGTCAATGTGTTTGCAACAATCTTGCGGGTCACAGGGTTAGGGTTAGGGTTAGGGTTAGGGTTAGGGTTAGGGTTAGGGTTAGGGTTAGGGTTAGGGTTAGGGTTAGGGTTAGGGTTAGGGTTAGGG